ACGACTCGAGCGGAAGTCCTCCACCTTGGCATGAAGCATGCAAAGTCACTGCGCTAGGGTTGGGGACTCGCAGCTCCAAAAAATCGCGGAGCGAATATTAAATTATGATTTTTTTTCTTCTATTATTAAAGTACATGAATTTTTTTTGAAGAACAAAGCTAATTTGAAGTTAAAATGTGTAACTTCGTATCCTTAAGAAACATATTATTGGGGCTATCTCTCTTCAATCTATCTCAATGTGGCCGATGTAGGCAGAGTGCTATCTGTTACACACCTTCATGTTAATTGAAGCTGGTGGCCGTTTTCCCTTCCTCCCTCCCTCCATCATCACAATTCACAACTATCACACCACTTCCACTTTTTGATCTGCTCTTCTTTCCCCTTTCTCTCCCATTACCCATTTTTTCCCTTCCTTCTGATAGCTAGCTGATTCACAGAAACAAGCCATGAAATAAGCTAATAACGCGAAAGCTTCCCTTACAGAGATTCCCATTTGACCCATCAAACTATTCCAAAAACCCAGAACAGCCCTCCCACAATTACCATTTTCAAGTAAGTTTGGCATCTCTCTGTTTTACTCCCACGGGGCAAAAAACAAAACCCAGTGAAACAGAGAAAGGGGAAAGCCAGCGAGTTCCATTGATTACTGTTGGGATTTTAGTGGTGTGAATGGAAATAAAAGGGGAAAGTTTCAAGAGAGTCTCTTGAAGTACCATGTTGGTAAGATGTGGGAAGGCACAGCCTCGAATTCGATCGATTTGATGTAATATGTGGTTAGTTGGTTAAATTGGTTTGTGTAACCAAATGAACCAAACCGAGTTGAACCAAATCGAACCGAACCGATCTGGCGGTTGGAATAACCAAACCGGTCCAACTTCCATGAGGCCGAACCAATGCAATGGTTGAAATATTTTAAACGAACCAATGCAATGGTTGGGGTGTAACCACCCATATGAAGAGTTGCCTCCCTTCAATGCATCCCTTCATTTTCTATAAATAGCACCATACCCCCTCTTGTTTTAATAACGAGTTTGACATGGATTTTTCCCGATACTGAAACTCTACCAAAATCCAAAACTAGTTTTTCTGCATTCTTTTCAAAGAGAAAATAGAGTCAAGTGTGGTTCTCGCCGTTTCGCTGCGTTCGATGGTGTTTCCGGGGTTTGAGGTACCGCTACGCCGGAAAAGGTACGTCCTTTCTATCCTGGGAGGAATCATTCCACAACCTTGGGTACTTGAGGGGAATAAGATTCTTTAAGGAGAGATAGTGAATTCTATCGGCTAGGACGCTTGCATGTGTCTTTGTATGTTTTTCTTAATCTTATGTGTTTGCTTGTGTTGCAAGAAAATAGTATACGTGAACAATTTCCCCAGCAATTACTATGTATGATTCCATTGTTTGTATTGTAATCAACTCTCTCATTACTCTATTTGCCTTCCTCTACCCTCGATTCCTCGTCGTTTTCTCCCTTTTCGCTGCTGTCTCTGTCTCACTCTTCACACTCTGTTTCGCCTCCATTTTTAATTTTTACTAGATATCTTGCCCGCGCTCTGCGGCGGTTATCCACTGTTATGAGCCCACAAATTTTGTGGACTGTGTATAGTGATGGCAATGGGGCGGGCGGGGAGGGTACCTCAATTCCCATGCCCCGCCCCACACTACTACGGGTCGGGGCGGGTAAAATCCGCGCGGGAACGGGGCGGGGCGGGTCGACCCACTCTTACATGTTGTTCAAAAAAATACAAGTAAATTTTACTTTTTACAATAAAACGTAGGGAAAAACACTTTAAGAATGAAAAATATTGATAATAGAATGGATAATTGAGCCTAACAAGTTGAAAGATCGACTCTAACTAGTTGAAGAAAAGTCAAAATATGAGAAATATGTATAGATATTGTGAGAAATTGAGATAAAATGAGTCTAGAACGGGGCGGGGCGGGGCAGGGCGGGTCGGAAGTAGATACCCATGCCCCGCCCCACGCTACTGCGGGTCGGGTAATACCCGCCCCATCGCGGGTCAGGTCGGGTAATACCCGCGGGGCGGGTTGAAATTGCCATCACTAACTGTGTATTTGTGTGGACCTGTAATTAGGCTTGAGTTTATTATAACTAATTCTATAGGATAGAATATAAGTATAGCTCACGATTTAAGTGACCTATTGTAGCTCAAAAACCATTCGTATTAAAGCTTTTCTAACATCCGTAGTATGGTAGTAGGGCAACTATTTAACTTTCAGTTTGTAGGTATCTTTTCGTATTTTTTCAATTTCCTTTAGCTTTTGGGTTCTTATAATGTGTATGGTGTTTTTCTATCATGTAAGTTATGATATAATTTTATTTAGCTAAATCCTTTAATTTATTGTCCAATAAAGGAATTAATAAAGCAAGCTTTGACCTAAATCTCATAACAACCTTCATAACTGGGGAAAAATTCTAACCGACTATGTTCAGCATCATCTGCTGAAACGATTGAGAACAATGGAAATTGTCAGTTTTTGATTTTCTGATTGTAACACGAAATTGTAATTTGTTAATGTTTGCATCTATGAGGTATAGGGCAATGTGTTGTCATCTAAGGCTCTAGGCAACTCATAGCCATCAACATTATTATTAATTTTTGTGTATATTATTAGAAAAAAATAAAAGACAAAGGTTCTAACCAAAACACAAACCCAATAGCACACACACAAAAATCATCTACACATAACTTTAAAAGACTGCTCCTAAACTTCTATTAAGCTTTTCTTATTAAAGGCAATAAGAAACTAAAAAGTTGAGGAGCAACTGTTCCTGCTCCTTATTCTCAAAACAACCCAGCATCAGCTCAAACCCTCTGCAAACCAACCATTCAATGAAAATTTGCAGAAAAGCAACAATGTACTGTCTCCCACTGGATAATCCTTTATCAACCTGTCCCCATACTTCGTTGAAGCTCTTCCTATTGATGCAGAAAAGAAAAGCTGCACTAATGTAAACTAATATAATTAGAGTATATATGTATGCTTAACTTTAACTTAAAATCGCAGAGGATTATGGATGTGATACTCATGGTATAACAAAAACATGATTCCTACTGTAACAATACCCACAAAAGCATTGAAAGCATATTACACTCATTCTATGATTACCACCAACATATAAGCATGAAGTAACTGCTGCAATTAACCATTGCACAACCATATTACTAAGTTGCAACAGAGGACCTGCGGAGAAGTACTTTTATTTGAAGCATAAGACATCACCTGGGCCTTTAATTTCATTAGTAAGTTGTTAATAACAGAGTTGTACAGAGAGAGTCCTTTATTAGTTGCAAGCATCCGGAGCAACAACATCATTGGTCAAAATTTACCTTCAACCAAATGGCCAAAACTCAAGTATAGATATTGCTAGTCCTATATGTCCACAGCTTTGGAAACAAAACTTAATTTCTGCCTCCAAAATCACATTATCTTATAAAAAAATAGATGTTAAAACTATTTTCATCCATTTTCACCATTAGATTATATAACTTCTGCAACAGAAGTATGCCATCAAGGTTCAACCTAAACTTTTATCAATAATTTGATCTATCAAATGAAACCAAAAAGAAACATTCTGGAATTCAAATCTCATGTATTGCAAGCAATTCATGGCAGTAGTTATTCATTCTGTACTAAAAATTGAAGAAAAACTTACTGAAGTATGACAGTCTTGGGTTCTTGTTATACTTCATCACATCTGTATCACTCTAAGGTGTGGCATCTTCCTTCAATGGCTGTACTGAAACTCATGAACAAAACATAATTCATCATATTAGACCTTGTTCTCTTTTGAACTTAATTTCATTACATGATAAAATGAAAACTCAATGTACAAAAATCAATGAACTGCTCTTTATGCTACTTCAGTAGTCCTTAGCACCCTATTTGTCTCGCATCATCCTATAAGCTAACTACAATGAAACCTGAACTTAAACACATTTTATTGATAAACATTCCATTTCAATCATACCTGCAGTATACAATATCATTCAATTGAGTCCCTCCACCTTAATCAGCTTGAACTTCCTGCCCAAAGTCTGAACTTAAACACATTTTATTCATACAAATTCCATTTCAATCATACCTGCAAGTATACAGTATCATTCAATTGAGTCCCTCCACCTTAATCAGCTTGAACTTCCTGCCCAAAGCCATAACCTTATAATCAAATCTTTTAATGAACTCACTGATGTTCAGTCGATTAACATGATCGCTCAGACTATTCAAAGTCGTGATTATAGTTTCTGGCACTATTTTCATCATGACTACTGCAACAACTGCATAAACCCAAATCTGTTTGTCAATCCCCTACTTGCCAGATATGACTACTGCAACAACTGCATAAACACAAATCTGTTTGTCAATCCCCTACTTGCCAGATACGAAGATACCCAATTTCGTCTCTTGAAGGATATCAGTTGAGCAAAGGAGTAGAGTGGTAGATAGTGAAAAGCATTTACCGATTTATTGACTCGCCGAAATCCAGTGATTTGTCGTTGTCATCCGTCGTCTCACTTCGTACGACTTTCGATTGGTTATGGCGGGACAAATCTGGGTGACGAAACGTTGTCGCCTATGGGTTCTGAAGAGGCGTTGTGTTCTGTGGTTTCCCGGCGCCGTTGAATGCAATTAGGGGTAAAGACTGTGGGTTCTGAAAAGGCTCCTCCACCGCCACCTGCCGGAGCGAGATTCTCCGGCGCCATTGAATGAGATTAGGGGTCGGGGTCGTCGCCGCCTGCCGGAGCGAGGTTTCCCGGCACCGTTGAATGAGATTAGGGGTCGGGGTGGGTTTGGGTATACGGGAGAGGGGAAATGCAGAGAGCTTTGCGCTGCCGTCCTTTTCTATTTTTTCCTTTTTCTTTTAGAATGTAGGGCGCTGCCGTTTCTATTTCTTTGGAGGATGTAATCAGGTGCTGCCGTTCCTACTGTTACGTAATGAACAGTAACTCCGACTTTTTTGCAACTTGAGACTTAATAGTTCTAATAATAATAATTTTGCTTTCTTCTTAAGCTTGTCTCTTCACTCTTCACGCAGCTCGAGATTCTTTTCCATTTGTTTAACAATGAAAGATGCTTTCTCTATCTCCTTCTTCCTCTTCTTCTTCCATTGGTTCACTTTCAACCGTAAAGTAATTGAGTTTGAATAAACTAAGAGTAAGAGCAACACAGACCTTGTTGGCTGGCTGCCGGAGGTGGAGGAACTTGAAAGCCATTTGTTTCTGCGGTGGTGGTTTTTCCTTTTTTATTAATTAAATCATTTTTTCGGGGTTCTATAAATTTCCCGCTCTTTGTAAATACCGAGGTTACTTACTACCGCCAATCTCTTTTCCCTTTTCTCTCCTGCTGCTGCTCTGCTGCCTTCCTTTGTCCTTCTCTTCACTTCCCTCGCCATTTTTGTTTTCTTCTAATAATTAGAAACCACTCTCATTTCTTACTCTTGATCCCGTTTCCCGATTCCAGGGTTTCTGAAATAAGTAATTCATTCAAAAATTTGGATTGATCAGTTGGGGAAGGAAGGAAGGAAGGAAGGAAGGAAGGAGAAGAAGAAGAAGACGATGATGAACACTAGAGTACGCTCTGCTCTGCAGGGCTTTAAAGCTCCATTGCACCCCGACAATACCAACAATAATAACAATACCAACCACAAAGTAAGCAATGTGCTGTGTTTTGCTCTGTTCCATTGTCAACTTTTCTTTCTTTCTGTGTCATTCTAATCTTGCTCTGTTTTCCATTTTCCAAGTGATTGATTGGTTTCTGGAAAATTTTTGTGAAATGATTTTCTTTCATGCCCACTTTTGATAAAGAGTGAAGTACTGAAGGGCTTGGTTCCTTTTACTTTAAAACCTGAAAAAGGATTGAGCTTTAGATCCAAACATTCATTGGGGTTTCCTTATCCTTTTTTCTACCCTTCTCAAGGAAAGAATATCGCTTCTCTGTTCTTTTACACCATGCTTTTACAAACAAAAAGAAAATCTGTAATTCTTCCCTGGATTTCATGCTTCATTCCCATGTAATCAGATTACTGACGCTCATGTTGAAAATTGGGATAGAAGGAGAAAATGCAGAGCCACGGAGGAGGAATAACATCAATTGCTGCCCTAAAATCTGCAGCCATTACCAACAGGCGTAAATTGAACAGAGAAAGGAAATTGGCATTGCTACAAGATGTAAGTAAAAAAAGTAATCAAATTCTCAACTTGCAAGTTCGAAATTCAGTACTCCACGTTAAGGGTTCTCCAATTTGATTACCCTTTCCTTTTTGCAGGTTGATAAGTTGAAGAAGAAGCTTAGACACGAGGAGAATGTACATAAAGCATTAGAGAGAGCTTTCACTAGACCTCTTGGAGCTCTCCCTCGCCTGCCTCCTTATCTCCCTCCTTATGTCAGTAGACTCGACTCTTTCCTTCCAAAATGTCTCTTTAGAAAATTGCAGCTGAGATCTGACATTGGTTTTTCTTTCTCTTTTCAGACATTAGAGTTGCTTGCGGAAGTGGCTGTACTAGAAGAAGAAGTAATTAGGCTTGAAGAGCAAGTCGTGAACTTTAGACAAGGCCTCTACCCAGAAGCTGTCTACAACAACAACTGCTCTAAAAACTCTACTAATGATGGAGCTTCTGAACAACAACAACAACAACAACAACAACAACAACCTTGCTGTTCTTCGTCTAGTACGAGAACACCAGGCAGCTAGGCATTCGAGATCAAAGTCAGTCTCGTCGACCAACGGGCTCATCAATTCATCGCCATTTGGATCAGCAGCCAGACAGCAGCAGCAGCAGCCTTCTCTTGCAAGAGGTACATCAAGCAGAAAGCTCTTGCCAAGTGAGAGTCCAATAATAAGTGGTCAATCAAGACATAAAGGTCAAGGCTCAAACAAGGTGATTTCTTCCTCTCCATATGATGAGATAGGGAAGGAGAATCGTTCGTGGAGTAATTCGTTGAAAGAGAAGCAATCTCCTCGGAAGAGAAATGGCAAGGTTGCAACCCCGCGTAAGAGACTGTTTGATAACAGACGGCTATCAGAAGATAAATGCTCAGTTGTTCCTTCAAAGCCAAGGGTACACAAACATACTCCTGGTTCTCAATTGGGTGAAGCTCAAGGGTAAACTTGTTCTTTGTTCGTTGTTCATGGCTCATTGTGAGTTCTATTTTGTTTGCAGAAGGTGGAATGCAGGTTAGCAGAAGAAGAAGCAACTTCGTCCTCAGGTTGCTCGAATGAGGTTCTTGAAGCTAAGAAGATATCCGAGGATATGGTGAAGTGCCTATCCACCATTTTCATGAGGATGAGAACATCGAAAGACAAGGCAGCGGCAGATATGGTCACCACCCTAGAAAGTGAGTGTGGTTGGGACGCTTATTACCATGGTGAAAGTAGTAGAGATAACAACACTGTTGGTCCATACAGTGATATGTGTGCAATTGAAGCCAGCTCGATCGACCTCAACCGGGCAACAACTGTTTTGTTTTTGTTACATGGGCTAAAGTATGTCTCTCGTCGTAAATCCATCTTTTGTTTATGTTAAAATCCAGTCAAATTTTGCTGCCATGCTGAATGCAGGCAGTTGGATGTCACATTTGCAATATTTACAAAAATGTCACCTCATAACATTCAATAGCTGGGATCCCCTTGCCAGTGACATAGACACCATTCAGCATGTTAACCAGATTGGGAAAGAATTCAATAACTTGAATGATTGTTCAGAGACATGATCAATGCTTGCTTGCTTGCTTTTCAGGTTTCTGATGGAGAAACTTGGCAGTGTGAATTTGGAAGGGCTTACTCACCAGCAAAAGCTTTCTTTCTTGATAAACATATGCAACTCTTGTATGATGAATGTGAGTCCTTCTCATTCCCATCTTAGGATACTAATTATCAACACATGGCGAATAAGTTTCTTTGTTCTTTACTTTGAACTCTTCTGCTCTGCACTTTGCAGGCCGTTTTGGAGCATGGGGTGCCCGAGACCGCCTGAAATGTTAGTAGCACTAATGCAAAAGATAAACTATCTACATCAGTTTTCCCTAATCTTGATCATGTTCAACAAAGTGGATTTGATCTCAAAGATGGTGATTAATTATGGCGAATCGCAGGCAACGATAACTGTAGGGGGGTCGCCTGCTGAATGCCATCACAATTGAACATTTCATACTGCGGCTTCCTTACCACTTGAAATTCGCAAGTCTCCTTAAGAGTTCTTTATAATTAATATCCGGTTCAAAGGAGTGTCATTTACCAATCAACTGATCTGCCAATGTAGACATGCGAAAAGGCGTCGAAGAACAACAGCGACGAGATGAAGGCGCGCAACAGCTTCGGGTTAGAGTGGTCAGAACCTTTGGTCACCTTTGCACTCTCCTGTGGAAGCTGGTCCTCACCTGCTGTAAGTACCTTTTCTGATCACTTTCTTTAAGAGAAGAAAATGGCCGGCTAGCTAATTCACGGGGAAACAAACGAACAATTGCAGGTGCAGGTATACACGGCAACAGGAGTGGAAGAAGAGCTAGAGGCAGCAAAGAGAGACTACCTGGTTGCAGCAGCTGGGATGTCGAAGACGAGCAGGAAGCTGATGATACCAAAGCTACTGGGCTGGTATCTGCTGGACTATGCCAAGGACATGGGCTCGTTGCTGGACTGGGTCTGCCTGCAGTTGCACGATGGGCTCAGGGATGAAGCTGTGAGGTGCGTGGGGAGAAAGGGGAGAGAGCCATTGTCACATTTGGTTCAGTCAGGTCATGCCTTACGATTTCAGCTTCAGGTTTCTTGTCTTCTGCAGAGGTGAGAATTGGAAGAGGAATGAATATGGAGATCGATCGGGCTTTCGGAAAATGGATCCTACACATAAAATAGATGGGCTTGTTTTTGGGTTCTTTTTCTTTGGGTTGGGCTTATTGGTGGTGGGTTGTGATTATTCTACACATAAAACGCTCTTTCAACTTCTTTCTGTAATACAATTTGGTCACTCCGATTGATTCCTATGACTTCTATTATTTTGCAATCCAAGGACAGTTCGTTATATTGTAGTACCCTTAGGGGTGGGCAACCGGTTCGGTAAACCCGAACCGAACCGAACCGAAACCGAAATAAACCGAACCGAAACCGAATTGTTGTTATTCGGTTCGGAATTCGGAAGGCAAAACCCTACACTTCGGAAACCAGGTGTGCCCAACCGAACCCGAAATTCCGAATTCCGACCGAACAAACCGAAATTCCTCTCCCACTCTCACACATCCCACATTTACAAGCCCACCCTCACACATACAGCCCACAACCCAAGCCCACCGCACATACAGCCCACAACCCAAGCCCACTCTCTGCCACTAAAACCCTAGCACATTCCAAAATCATCATCATCATCTTCTTCTTCTTCCAGAACCAGCATCCTGCCCTGCCTCTTTGCCGTCGCCATCTTCTTCTTCTTCTTCTTCCAGAACCACTCAAAACCAACCAAATCAAAAAAGACAAAACCTCAGATTAGCAAACCTAGAACAAATCAGAATCAAACAAAAAAAAAACAAATGATGAATCGAAGGAGAGTCCGGATCTGTTCTTGCTTCCCGGGGCGGCGCATGTGTCATCGGTGGCCTCTGCTGACCCCGGCGGTGCATGTGTCATTGGTAGCCTTTGACAGTGAGTCGGTGAGAGAGAATCAATGAGATTGGGGGTGATTGGGGGAGATTTTTGAATCTCTGTCGAAGGTAGAGGATGAGATGCATGGTTGAGGTTGGGGGATTCGGGGAGTGGAGACGATGGTCGGGGATAGAGGGAGATGAGACGAATCGATTTGGGGGAGAAGTGAGAACGAAGAGTCAGGGAGTGTTGGTTTTTGTGGGAGCTGGGAATGACGAAGAGGCAGGGAGGGACGGAGGGTTGGGCTTTGTTGCTCTGCAGCCTCTGCTTATGGGAAAGAGGGAGAAAAGGCGGAGAAGAGCAAAAAGAGGAGAGAGAGCGAGGTAATGGGTGAATGACTGAAGACAAAGAGGGGAAGTCTTCAGCTGCATAAATTCGGTTTTGACAAAAAAACCGAACCGAACCGAGTTATATTTCGGTTCGGGCAAACCGAACCGAAATATAGCTCGGTTCGAATTCGGTTGGGCCATCTGTGATCTCGGAAAATCGGCATATACTAGTTCGGTTCGGTTTGAACCGAACCGACCGAACGCCCACCCCTAAGTACCCTAGTATAGGGATGGCAATGGGTCGGGTTGGGTCGGGTTTAGCCAAACCCAAACCCAAACCCATGGGTTTATCTTTGAAAAAAACCCGGGGTAAAACCCACTGGGTTTGAAAAACTCAAACCCAACCCAACCCGTTGGGTATCCGCGGGTTCATGGGTACCCACGGGTTTTGTCGTAAAAAATTTACAATTACAAGTTCTTATCAAAATTAAAGTCAAATATCAATTTCTCAATACAAATTATCCATATATAAAACACCATTCTAGAAAATTCAAGTAAATCACAAATTAACTATACAAATTGTTCAACACCAATCTAGAAAACTCAAAAAAATTGAAGCAAATCACAAATTTTCCATAAATAACATGTTTAATTGAAAGCTTCTTCCTTTCAATTAAGTTTCTTTACTCTCCACTCCATAACATCAACTTGATTCTACACAATTAAAAAGAAAAAATTAGACATGTCTCCACAAATATAAATAATATTAGTTGTTTAGAATATTAAATATACCGAAAAAATTAATTATATGGGTGGGCGGGTACCCACGGGCCGGGTTTACCTAAACCCAAACCCAACCCAACCCGTTGAATAGTGAACGGGTTTAAACCCAAACCCAGCCCAAAACCCGTCAACATGGATTTTACCCGCGTTGACCAGGTTGGGTCGGATGGGTACCAGTGGGTTCGGGTTTTGTTGCCATCCCTACCCTAGTAGGCTTCAATTATGCTTCTGGCATTCATTAGTTTTGTATACAGGTTAATTGCATGGTTGGTCACTAATATTACGAAAAACGTTTGTTTGGTTACTCGAAATATTTAAATCTATTCATAGTCATTAGATTTAATAAAACAATTCAAGTTTGATCATACTCCATTCAACTCCGTTAACTTTATCTGATATGGAAGTCAACTCTCAAAATTGACTAGGATGGAGGTTGGAGTGAAGAGAGAGGAGCAGAAGAAAAAGGCTAGGGTTGTGGATCCACGCTTTGGAGGAGCGACGGAGGTGGGAGTGAGGTGGAGTTGATAATTAGTGAGGTTTAGGGAGTTAAAAATAATAATTTTTATTTTTCATTTTAGTGGTAGTGATAATGAGGTGGAAATTTTGGATTTTATTTATTAATTTTAATTTCCACATCATACATTTAAGGGTCAACTTTGAGAGTTGACCACACACATCAGACAAAGTTAACGAAGTTGGACATAGTGACCAAACTTGAATTATTTTACTAAATCTAGTGACTAAGAAGAGATTTAAATATTTCGAGTGATTAAACATGAGTGATTAAACATGAACGTTTTTTGTAATCTCAGTTATCAACCATGCAATTAACACCTTATAGAAGTTATCTAATGAGAAAAAAGACACATGTCGAGATATATCTGGAAATCATAATGGACAGAATGACTCAAAAGAAGAAAATCAGTAGAACGGGAACACAAACTTTCAAGGAGCAATGAATTGAACCCACCAAAACCAAAAAGAGCACTAATCGTCCTCACAAGTAAATCACCAGATCAGCCCCTTTGTTAGCAAGATAAAGAAAACAAACTACCTTATGAATTGTACATTTTATACATGCAACCCAAAGCCAATCCAAACGAAGCCTACAACAAAAGCACAAAGGTATACATTCAGCAGCAAAATTGCTATCTCAATTACAATGGCAGGGGTCACCTGATGACTGCACGAATATGACAGAATGGCGAAGGGGAAACGATCACGATATAGGAAGAAAACATAGCGAGGAAAAAATACAAAAACCGAATGAACAATGACATGTAAACCAAACAAGGCGGGGTGGGCAGCTCGCTCATGCTTTGGGACCAGAAGATTTACCTGAAAGATGACCTAAAAAGAAATCTCAGGTCAAAATTCCGAGGCTGTCAGTAGTGGAAGAGACAATGTCAATGATGCCTGCTAAAGGTCTCGAATTCTTAGCCAAATGGAGAGGGAACAGGTCCTGCAACAGCATCTGATCTCTTGATGCTGCCCATACCACAGATAATGCATCCAGGGGAAGAGAGCGCCGAGAATTTGGCACCACAAAGATCGCAGACATCATACCCGATCGTCGAGAGACGGCCGAGGGTGGCAGCGCAGAACTGGGAAGGATCTTCAAGAGGGTCGATGGACTTGTCAGACGAGCCTCTCTGGACACACATGTCGACGAGGCTCCTCAGTTCATCTTGCTTGGCTTGGGGAGCTTTGGATAGTAGGAGCTCCAGCATCTGTTTTGCGTAGGCGAAATTCTGGACTTCCATGTTTCTCTTGATTGCTGTTCGTATACAGTTTATTCGGTGCTTTGCTAGAAGAGGCAGGGAGCCCAGGTGTCGTGCGAGCCGAGCCATTTCATCCTTTGCACTCAGCACGTTTGGTCCTTGTACCTTCTGCAGCCGTGTGATTTCCTGTTCCCAACAAATAAATGATTGTTTGTCAGCATTCTTTTAGTCTTGGAATGCAGGAGGGGAAATGGATATCACAAGAAAATTCTTAGCGAGTGTTTGTTTTGGCTAAAACATAACTTAAAACTAAGTGCAAACTAAAATGATTTCCTGTTCCCAACAAATAAATGATTGTTTGTCAGCATTCTTTTAGTCTTGGAATGCAGGAGGGGAAATGGATATCACAAGAAAATTCTTAGCGAGTGTTTGTTTTGGCTAAAACATAACTTAAAACGAAGTGCAAACTAAAATGATTTCCTGTTCCAAACAAATAAATGATTGTTTGTCAGCATTCTTTTAGTCTTGGAATGCAGGAGGGGAAATGGATATCACAAGAAAATTCTTAGCGAGTGTTTGTTTTGGCTAAAACATAACTTAAAACTAAGTGCAAACTAAAATGATTTCCTGTTCCCAACAAATAAATGATTGTTTGTCAGCATTCTTTTAGTCTTGGAATGCAGGAGGGGAAATGGATATCACAAGAAAATTCTTAGCGAGTGTTTGTTTTGGCTAAAACATAACTTAAAACTAAGTGCAAACTAAAATTATTAGTTACTCGTAGTTATATCACTGAACTGACGTGTCGCAACTAGAGTACCGATTTCCACTATGGAAAACTCAGTCAATCTAATCTCAGTTCAAAGAGACTGACTGCAAAATCTACGATTTCATGTACGTTAATAAAAACATTCTATAGTTGTAGTAGTACCATCTACCATGTTTCAGATTACAATTACCTGAAGCAGCGTAACTGCTATCTTGTACTGAGCACAGATGGTTGCTTGGGCTTTGACATCAGCTCCGCGAGAGAAATCTTTGGCCAGAGCCAAGAAAGCTTCATCAAAGCATGACAATGCATCAGGAAGCTGATTCTGCTCAAGGTGAGCAAGGCCGGTCTTGAAACACATAGAAGCAGCTGCCCCACGGGGAACCTATTATCAAACAAGCCAAAAGAAGCAGCAAAAGACACAAGGTTAGATTTCATATTGGAATTCGAAATGCCTCCACCATCTTTGTTTTCTCTCTAATTTCTAATTCTCGAACCCAAAGTTAAAAAAAAAAGTCTTAACTCAAAATCCAGCATGTTTGTTTAGCTCAAGGGAAAAAAAAATACTGAACTGAAACTGAAAAGCTTTTACAAATATTCTCATTCAATTTAACTTCTTAAACAACCATTCGTGGACTTAACAAATTCTAAAGGTTATCTCAGTAAAAAAAACATAATTCTAACCATAATCCGAGAATTCATGCTCTTAATTATTATACGTGCTATTTAACATCTCTTGCAAATTTATTAATCTCTCGTTACTAAAAAAAAATATTTCGTATTATATCACTTCAACTATTTCTAAACCCTACCAAACATATTTTTCCTTTACCAAGACAAAAACTTAAGAAAACAACTCATTTTTTAAGCAAAAGCTAAAACAAGAACTCCCAACAGACTAAAAGCACTCTCACCTGTCCAGGGCGTACAGATGATGGTGGAGGAGGTCCTGGAGATTTCCCAGAGTCATCGGTATTTGGAACTCCAAGCACACTGAGATCAAGAGGCTGTGAAGAGATTGGTGGCTGAGAAGGCTGAACAATGTGATGCTGAGTGGGGAAAGCAGCCTGTCCAGTAACTTGTGGTATGATGGATGCCTGAGCAGAGATTTGAGGCGGCACACCGCCATCAGGAAGTCCGAATGAATCAATTGGGAACGATTGTTGTTGAGTGGCCGGCGGAGGAACACCGCCGCCAGGAAGGCCAATATCAGCAGCTACAGGAGCATCAATTGGAGTACGTGCCATTCTCTCGCCACCTTCTGTTCTTTGATCCATCTTTGAAAGGAAGGTACCAGGCGGGGGCAGGGTCTTTGCAACTTGAATGGAAGAAATCGTATTTTCAAAGAAGTCTTCTGGGATGGGTCGAGGTGCAGGAATTGCAGTACCTCCAACTGCAGGAGCTGGTTGTTGTGATGTGGGTTGGATAAAGGAGACTGGACCGAACAAATCAGTAGGTGGTGAAACTCCAACTGAGGCAGCAACTGGAGGAGGAGGCTGTGATAAGATCTGGCCAAGGTCCTGAGAGCCACTTGACGTCCTTGCCCTTGGGGTAGGGCCTAATAATGCTTCACCAAGTTTAAGCTGTTTAGTGGCTTCTTTGATTTTATTGACGTCTACTGTGGTGGAGGAAATTGGTTTGTCTCTTATCCTAATTTGAAGCTTCTTAGTTTTCGACGTTCCTTCTTCATCACTGCTGCTACCATCACCAGCAGCTGCACCACCATACATCGTCTTCTTGAATTCCTCTTCAGCTTTGGCCTGTTCAGCAGATGACGTACCAGCCGCATTTTGTCTTGAAAGAGCTTCTAGGCCATTAAAGGAACCACCACTCGAAGTCGTACCAGTTAGTCCCTTTGCACTGCCAGAGATGGATTTGGCTAAGATATCTGGAATTCCATTGTTCAGCTTATTGTCAGCTGAAGGAATAAGAGATTTGACTAAGCTATCTTCTCTCACTTCCACAACATTTCCTCTTCCTTTTATGGAACCTAGATAAACACCAATATGATCAACAATGATGTGAGGGATTGTTCCCTCATCCGTCCTCATATATGGCATCACCTCTCCAGCAAGCTCCCACTGAGGAATGCTCTTTATGTTGGTAGGGGTCTTGATTTCCCAGTTACCACCACCCCATTCAGGTCCTTTCGGAACCATACTCTCAGCAGCAAAGTTCGCGAAAATGCCTTGCGTCCATCCGGTAGACCTAACTCTCAAAATCCTTTCACAATATCGTCTCAACTCTGGATCCACACTTTCTTCTTCCAATTTTTGAGCAAGACGCCGCATGGCACTAGGATTAAGGTGGCATATGAACAAATCTAGCAAGCTTTCATAATCTGCAATGACTTCAAAAGTTTCTTTGGCACTGTCGAATTGACCGTATCTGAAATATGGAATTTAGTTAATATCACAATTTTGATAGAACTTGGACTCATCACTATATAAGACAAGCACAACTTCATCGAGCATCAAAAGAATCCGAACTCGCAAACATGCGCACATCAGCATAGACCTGAGTATGAAATTTGTTTTCCGGACATTAGGGAGTCGGAAATTTGGTGTGATTGGTAAAGAAAATTTATGGGCAAAAGGGGATGGGAGCTGAAATATGGTTAAGCTGTTTTCCCACCTCACTCCAAAATAAACAAACAAGAAACTTTCTAACATTAACCCTCAGGTTTCCTCCCCTTCCGTTTTTCACATCCTATCCAACAAGGGGCAAGTCTGGATAGACAAAAGATCTGACTAATCATCAGAAGCTTCGATTATCTGAGTTAATTGAAATCCAATCAATGACTATTCATAGAGAATGCTCCATCACCAAGGTCAATCAACAGAAATTGCAATTTGTTGCTGCCTCTAAAACATATAGCAGGCTTCATTATTCCACTCAGCCAAAATCTCCAAAATGATGAACAGAAGCTTACATTTAATAACTCGCACGTGATTAAACAAAAAAAAAACTAACCAAATAATTAAATAGTCACACAGACAATCATATGCAACAATGAGGTCCCAAACTATATGAATTCATGAGTTGCTGAGTGCACTTCTATTGAGCATCCAATATTTGTGTACCTGATACATGCATATCCCAGTTGTCGAAACCGGTGGAACAAATGTGAAGTTGGAGGACATTTTGGATAATCTCTGGACCGCAAGAACTCATCTTTGAGAACAGACAATGCCGTTGAAAAACGAAGAGCTTTGATAGCATAGATACAGCGCAAGACCTGACTTTTTTTAGGCAACTTGGTTCAGGATTAAATGGGAAAACAAACAAATCAGATTAAAGCTGAACAAGAAAACTTCCACTCACCTGCGTAAACTGGGGACCTGCTTGAGATAATGACACTGCAAGATCTCCACAAACTGGAGGACCCCTGGCGAGAATGTCCAGTGCCCTCGGTGTAATCCGCAAGCTGTCAAACCTTCACTCAGATAACAATTTGGAATCTCTAGGATATCAGTAATACCGCAATGGCTGGGCTTTCATAGAAAATACAAAGAGAGGTAAAACAAAATCGCAGCCCTAATTGAAAATATTGGGGAACTTGCAGTATAATCGCTAAACTTTTCAATTTCCACAGTAAGGGATACTTAACCTTGAAGTTATCTGGTAAAGTGTTTCTGAAAGGTCAAGCTTCTGCTCAAAAGTTTGTTGCATGGTGGCAAATCCAATAAGAAGAGGCTCAAGAAGCCCAACCAAACAACTTCTAATCTCAATCCCTTTCTTTTGTCTAGGATTTATATCAGTAGGGTTTGCAAGCAGCAATCGATCATTCAATGCACCAACAAGAGCTGCATAAAAAATAAACAGTTTGCATTATTAAACATGAAAATATCCTGGGCTTGAGTTCATTAGACATGCACAATCAAAAGAAAACAAATTGGACCTGCATAAGGCATGCTAATGGAGGCAATGGTCCTTACTATTCCGTCCCATCCAAGCATACTGACAGCAGTAGTAGTGGAAAAAAGAAGAGCTGGGCCAACCCACAAAAGGGATCTAAAGTGCACAGCTAGTTAAGCAAAACAGAGTATTTTTCTTTATTATAGATGATTTTAGTTTCAAGGTTTGAAATCGTGATAAGTTCCCAATTACCATTAGGTCAAACCCTTGGAGATCTGTTAGTAAAACATTAAGCTGCTGAATCTAAAAAATTATAGTAATAAACAAACACAACTTCCAAAAAGTTGCCAGGATATTGGAGGAAGTCCTTTATCAAATTTCATAGTGCTGCTTGCCAATATCTCAAGGTCCGCTGATACCATGAGTACCCTGCGAGTGGTTAATATTCCTGCAACATAGCCCCGAGGAGTTTCTTGCCAGTGGACCTACAGACACGATTGCCAGTCAATATATGTGATACTTCTGCATATTATTATTCAGTTCAAATTATGATGGTCACCACACGGTATGCATGATGTAATTCAAATTAACATAATGCATCGACATAAACAATGCCCAGATAAAGTTAACATGGCACAGCCATCTACCATACTCTCTAACTCATTAATCACAAATAAAGGTGTCACTATCCGAAAAGATCTTGTACAATCAGTCAGCTTCCAGGCAGCAAACATTACAGAAGATTTCTATTTAATTCCTCTATAGCATCTAACAACCTCAATGAAACCTCAGAAGAGTAACATCCACAAAGAGCTGTTGATACTCTTTTAGCTTTCACATAGTCGAGAATGAGCTACTAAGTGATCCCAACCATAGTTTCCCAATATTTCTACAACTGTGTGCAATTTCAGCTAACAGGCCAATTTTCACCAAGATAAAAGCTAATGCAGAGTCCAGGAGATATATAGCTAACACCAAAGGTATATGGCAGTCTACACTATGCATATTTCTGTTCAGAGATAACATGCTCTTGGGTAACAAACCTATACCTGGAGTACGATTTCATTTAATTTCAACTTGATTGACTTTCTTCCTTCAGATTTCGTCTGTATGTAATGGCCATCTGAGTTTGAAAGACGATATCCTTGTACCAACTTAGCCAGACTAATCTGAATCCCATTCGACACATACATCAAAGTTGACTCTGCAACCACAATGTTTAAATCAGTATGATGGGTATTGCTTGATGCAATTGCATTGAGAAGAAGAATCTCACTCATCAAGCACCTATTGGAGTGGAGAATATACGATCGACTTCACTTTCAAACATAAACTGTATTGGACCCTGAAGAGACCCATCTTTTGTTTCTTCAGCAGTAGGGTTCTCTTCTAATAATAAATCTTTATCTTTGCCTTCTTTTGTATCTCCTCCAGGCAAAATATACATTGAAAGTCCCGTTTTGTCTTCATCAAGAATAGCAAACTGGAATTCTTTAGGACCAATAAATGCTGCATCACGACCTACAAAGAAAAATACAGTAGGCCAAAGCATTTCAGGTGCCCATGCTACATGTATTCTGGCACGAGATGGCGAAGGACATAAAACTTCAGACAGGCATACCTTTCAGTGTGCTTCCTTTACTGTTTGCTGCCTGGTAACTAGTATTCTCCCAGTAAAGCACCAGTTCAGTTGTAGAACCACTGAATTCATAAACAACAAGGAACAACCTCTGTATTTTACTGTACACCATGTGCTTAGGATGATATTCCACATTTCCAGGAATCTGAAAGTGTAGAATAAACTTCAGAGCCTCAAACTTGCTAAACAATGGGATTTTTCACTAAATGACATTCTTCACATATTCACTATCACTAGTCCCCATTATTTCCAATAGGGAAAAGGTAGAAACAGCAATCTTACCGTTGTATAAAGTTTTTTATATATGCTGTCTCCTCCAGTGCAGAGATTGTATGCCATAAGATTCAAACCCTCCACATAGAAAGCCCTAACAGGATAATGAAGAACTCGATTTTCTTTGTTGAAGAAATTTAGCTCCAAATGAAAAGGCTGCGAATCAAAACGACATTTCAAGTGCCCGCAAGTACACAGAAACCTAACTGACGACCACTAATTATTCATCTTAGTATGTAAGTACCTGGCACACAGGAATATCCTTGAGATAATGCTTGGTGTCCAAAATTGATATGAGAGGTAATCGGGATATTGGGGTACTTTTAGAATGACCTTCCATAAAATGCTACAGAAACAAAAGAAGTTAGTGAAGAGAACATCAGACTGGGAGATTATTCAACTTTAAGCACACACAAAAACAAAAACAAAACAGATTCCAGAAGAGATTTGAAGGAACCAATCAATGGGCACAACAAGATTTTGCAAAATTTGAATTTAGTTGAGCTACTTTATACTGCCACCTTCAAAATAGCGGTGAGGGAGCAGTTAGACTTCTAGGTGGCATCATGTCAAACATATTAAAGTTCAGCCCTATCCTAATAACTCAGTCTCGTAAAATACACACGATCTAACTATTCAACATCTAGCCTCTAAGAGTGAGCACGGAATAGCATTCAGGATATGACCACTTTGATTGGATCAGGGGATCTGTGCTATTGGCAGGAGACATACACTGTGAAGGAATGCCTTCCTTGCAATGTCTGAAATTGTTGGCTGCCCGTGCCTGCAAGGGAATGAGACAAAAATGAGGTACTAATATTGAAGACCAGAATGGGGGGAAGAACAAAAGAAAAAAACAGCATACACCATTTCGATCTTCAGAACCATCTAAATAGTAGCCACTTCCGTAACTGTGGCCACCCCAAGGTTAACTTTAGTAAAATAACCTAAAATAATGGAGAGCGAAAAGAAGAAAAACTATAATCCACCAAGCACTTCTAGGTGATGATAGCCACAAGAACTATTATTTAGAACTGACCCTTTGAGATGATGCTCTTGCAATTGGGCCTGAAGCTGGTGATCAGCCAAAACTCCTGATGCGCCCAAGGAAGACAGCTTTTCCTTCAAAACAGATGCTGGAAATCACAACAATCAATAATGGAACACAGATAAACTGTATGCAAGACAGGCAACAAAATAAAAAATATAATCAAGATAATTAAGTTGTGATAAATACAGACGGTCAAGCTCTCAACATTCAATTATATCAGCAGATGCAATACTAGTTCACAAATTATATCACAAGATCTGAATGATTTCAATAATATGCAAACCAAGAGCAACACTTTTCCCACATTTCTTTATATAGTAAGTTAAAGCAACAGTTGTCACCCAGCATTAAGATTGGGAATAACTGGACTGTGAATCAATCAAGCAAAGCCAGAACACAATAAAATGCAACAGCAGTGAGCAGCCTAGCAATATTCTATGCAATAGATTATAGATTGCAGAACTTTAATGATTAAGACTTAGATGGCCATTCACCGGATGATCCCCTTGCACTTTGCAGGACAGCGAAAAGTTGCTTCCTTCCTTCCCTAGTGTATGCAGCCTTGTTCCTCATATTATCAGCACCCGCCATATTCTGTCACAAACACTAGGTAAAATAAGAAGAGCCTTCTACTATGCAAACTGTAACTCAAGTCTGAAAATTAAAACAGATTCTCTTAACTGCAAATATAAGAGCTGCCAAATTCAATTTTGGATGAACTTCTAAGGTTCTAATTCTTGGTAAAGGATAAACTGCTTCTCCTCCCTGCTGAGACAAAATGCGAGGGACATCTATTGATTCGATTCCTACAGTCAAAAGCCAAAAATAAATGAATTAGTCACCATGCTTTCCAATACAAAATTCTTTGTACGTTAAAGTTACGAATGAACCATCATGCTGACTGCCAATCTATTAACCTAGTAAATGAGGGGCAATAAACCTGCAACCATTCCTTAATTGAATTACATGGTTCTACTAATTTAGAACTATTTTTATCATGCAGGCAAAGATAATAGCAACCCCAGAAGAGGATTTAACACCCAGCATTACATTCAATAAGGATATAGCATGTGAGCTGCAAATAGCCTCAAGCCCTCAACTAACATAAGGCCCTAGTTCTACGTTTAATACTACCGACATAAAGTTGCAGTAACAAAAACTGTCAAGTTACTAGATGCTTGGAACTCTCTGATGTACTTCAGCAAGAATTCGCTTAAAAAGGATTAGTAATGATAAGAGCTGACCAGCTTGTTCGAAAAAGTTTGCCGGCATCAGTGGTCTATTAGGGTTGACTACCAATCGCGTTTTCCATACTTGAAGAGTTCCATCTTTTGAAACAGTGACAAGTAGCTTCAACATCGATAGCCAAGATATTGATGCAATTGGTTGTGAGCCCACCTGGGTTCTGCAATTTAGAGTAGAAAATGTAGGAAGAGATGTAAAATCATCATGACTAGCATACGATGCGTGCTAAAACAAGCGGCATTCTATTACATTTATTTTGTTTTGGTTTTATTTTTGGGTGCCAGTGTGGTAATTTTAAGTAGAAGAAGCTGAGACTTTAAGTCGAAGGAGGAGTTGAAACTCTTTGAAACTTCAAGACAAACCCCAGAATACACTTCAACTTTAACTTAGCATAGAACAAGAAAGAGGAAAGGAAGTATGCTAAACAAAACAATTATTTAATATCAACCATGCTAATGCATTTCCTATTTCAACAAATATGTAATCATTCCATGAGTTGCATACTGCTCCATCGCAAGAGACCATAGAACTGTCATCACCAGTAACAAAAGTAACCTCAAGAAGCATAAGCTTAGAATTTAGGTTCACAAAACAATAATGAGCAAGCAATGTAGTTTATCAACCCCTCGCACAAAGCTACAGGACACACATTCATTACTAGGATCTAGGATTAATACAACAGCCACGCAACAAACTTTATACCTTCATAACATTTATGGTTTCTATTTCACATTTCAGAATCACTCAAGAACAGACAAAATTCTAAAACAATACTTACAAGGAGATTTGAGACGATTCAAAGAGTACAATAAGTTATAAACAAAACTAAATCTTATTACAGTAGATAGATCAAAATGGGAAAAGTAAAGACATTCTTACATTCCGATCATACTGGGTCTCTCAGTAGAGACATCCCAAGCCAAGAGTGTACCACGCCTATCGCCAACAAAGATCCATTCTAATGTTGGATGAAAAGCAAATGCTCCAGCACCAATGAGCTTGATGGTATTATCCACTGCATTACCACCGACAAATGGCAGCGTAAATATAAACACAATCTGCTTTTGAAGAAATGGTAAAGTCAAACATCCAGATGCATAATACGTCTCGTTAACATCTTACATTGAAGTGTGTAATGAACAGCATATGTGTGAATGTTGTAGGCTCGAATCAAACCATCTGCATAGGCCACATACTGGAAAAATAGTAGATGACCACATCAGCTGCTAAATTATTATAAGAATCAGCGAAAGATCAAATCATGTATCTGATTCTATTTCGATTTTATGAATGCAATTCATGAAACTGCAAAATAAGTTCACATTTGGCACCACAGCAACTAGAAGGAAATTCTGGATTACAAATTGTCCATGCATTGGTCTGCAGTTTCTCTGGGACACCTAAGCAATCAGACACATCCTTTGACCACAATAAACACTTTTCACTACAACTGTAGATCGATAACAGCCAGGAAGTCAGCAAGGAGGATGCGATCAATAACAAAGAAAATTTAACTTCCCTCAGTAGCCTACCTATCTCATGTGGTCATAGGATACTTCGCCTCACACTGGATAGACCATATTATGCTCAAACGATCCCATTATTTATTCAATTCATACCAGAGCTCAAACCACCAAGCAGTACAAGTATGTGGACTCAAGTGAGCTTTTCTTACCAGAACAGGAAGCCGTGGATGGCAAGCAAGATTCGTTATTGGCTTCTTCAAGTCCGTTTTGATTTTTGTGGGCGCCCTTCCCCCTTCAACAGTTCCAACAACTTCAAAGAAAACACATAAGACATAGAGATAAGTTACACATATGAATCACTTTGAGCTGTATAACTAGGATGGAAAATATTGCCTCATGCTGGAAAAGAAAAGCAAAACAAAGATGAGAGCAGTAAGGAGAAAAACAAACCAACCGACCCGTTACGCTCATTCTGCGGTTGAAACCGAAAAAGACAACAGGTTGGAGAGGAGTCAATGCAAGATGAACTTCTGTGTCTATCGTTATATGCTCTGATCTCTTTTCAGGGGAATGTAATACGCAAGTTTGCTCAGTGTCAAAATCACAGGCCCGAATGGTACAATCCTACAACAGTGAATACATAACCAAGACGAACATAACTATTCAGACAGCAAAAACAAGCATGTCTCTGTAAGCAGGAAGCATGCATAAATACACTGAGCTACCATACTGAAGAAACTAACCTCTAGAATAGCAATTACAGCATGCCCACTGGTTGGGCTGTAACCCATACGAACAACAGGAGCCCCAATGTTGATAGTTGAGAGCTTGCTGCCTGTAACTGCATCGAATTCTGCAGAATTCGATACAAACAAAAAATGATGAGAAATCTCGGAATTCCTGAAAATCGATAGCAGAAACGACTAAGTTAGGAACCAATTGACTCACCAATTATGCAAGGTCCAATTGCCACGGCGACGAGAGCTTGTGTAGGGTGAAACGTAGCAGCATGCGGCTGCAATCTCCGGTTAACACCACGACCTACATGCCGCAGATCCAGATGCTGCACCGTTGCCCACTCCATTGTTAAACCTCACAGTTCTTCTTCCTCACCTAGAAAACACCACCACGACAGAGTATGAACAGCGAGTTCAGATCACAGGTGAGACGAGAAATGGCGAGAAGCAGATCTAGTTCAAGAAGCAATGAATGGAAGTAATACAGGCAGCTCGATTGAACTTTAGCTTCATCATCCACGTCGCGGCAATTCAAGCGAGTAAGAAGGGGAGCGAAAGAATTTTCATTTGCCCGGAGAGATCAAACCAACGAAAAAGAAACTTCCCAAAACTTTGGAAAAAGTGAAGACCAGGAAGCAGAGAGAGCGAAGCAGTGGAGAAAACATAATGAAAGAAAAGAAAAACAGAAACGAGCTGTTCCGGTTTGGGCTTTTAGCCCTCATATAGAAGGATCTCCTTCCCAGTGTCCACTAGTTTCTAGTTGGGCCAATAGAATAAACCTACATGGGCCTTCTTACAAACGAGCTTTCAGCTATTGGATTCATTGGATTCGCGAATGTGTTACTACTACTACTTTCTCTGTGACGATGAATGGGTCTCTTGCAGGTTACTTTTTGGCATCTCGAAGCTTACGACATGGAGATCTTTTGTCGCTACTTTTATTCACTCTGTGCACAGAAGGTTTGAATGCAATGATCCGAGAAGCTAGTCAAGCTCATGAGATACATCCTCTTCATATGTGGCCTTGTTGTCCCCCGGTGTCTCATCTTCTTTTTGCAGATGATTCCCACCTTTTCCTTAGGGCGTCTTTTTGAGATTGTCAAGCTTTGTTGTGGATCTTAAAGGATTATGAGATGATTAGCGAGCAGTAAGTGAATCTTCAAAAATCGGCTATCTTTTTTAGTCCTAATCTTGACCTTCAACTTTAAGATCTTTTGGGCAGGTTTTTGGAGATAGGATCGGTGGGGGTACTTGATCAGTACCTGGGTTTACCTTCTCTTGTTGGGCGTTCAAAGATGGAAACATTTTGGTATGTCGAAGAGAAGTTGCTTGGGGTTCTTCAAGGGTGGAAGCAGCGCTCTTTATCTGCTGCTTGCAAGAAGCATTGTTAAAGTCAGTTGTTGTGGCGCTTCCGGTATATGTCATGTCTTGTTTCTGTTTTCCTCTACTCCTCCTTCGTCGCCTCAATACTCATATGGCTAGGTTCTAATGGGGGCGATGCAGGGCCAACATCGGATTCATTGGTTAGCCTGGAAAACCATGTGTTTGAGCAAACACGAAGGAGTTTTGAGAATTCAAAAGCTTCAATCAAGCATTGCTGGCCAAGATCGTTTGGTGTATTCTCAAGTAACCGACTTTGTTACTGTCTAGGAATTATAAGGGACACTACTTTTCGAATTCTCCTTCCATTTTGGAAGCTAATGTTGGTTCTAATCCGTCTTGGGGCTGGCAGAGTGTCATGTTTGGCCGAGATCTTTTATCCGTTGGTATTCGGTGACAGGTCGGCAATGGCGAATCCATCAAGGCCTTTGATGATCTGTGGGCCCCATCTTCTTCACCTTCTACGCCTAGGCTGCTTACGGGAGCCCCAAGATCAGCAGCTTGTGTCTCCGCGTTCATCGACCTAGGATCTAAGGCGTGGAATCAGGGTGCTCTTCGTGCATTTTTTATGGAGTAATCAGTTCGTGAGATCCTCGCCATTCATCTTCCCCATTAATCACTATTAGATAGTCAGGTTTGACATTTCACTACGTCTGGTGAATATGAGGCAAAGTATGGTTACCATCTTGCTTTTCAGTCAGCTCGTTCTGCTCCTGGTAAGGTCCGCGTTGACGTAATGGATCATGAGGTTTGGACTTGGCTATGGAACTTACAACTACCTTCAAAACTGATTTTTTTTCTTATGGCAATGCTTGCATCGGATTGTACCGAATCGGGGGGCTTTGGAGATTCGTAGAATGGATTTGATTCCAATCTGTCTCGTCTGCTATCGTCGAATAGAATTCATTGATAATTTGTTCTTTAAGTGTCCACTAGCTCGGAGCAATTGGTCTATGACAGGAAGTGTCGACTGGTTCGTTCACCATCTTTCTTCGTTCGAACTTGTTTGGTATGACAGGTAACGATTTGGAGTACAAGCTACTGCATGTGGTTTGCGGGCTCTGGCGTTTGTTGAAAAGTTGATGCAAGGTGGTTTTCGAATATCTACAACTTCAACCTTCAACGCTAGCGTGGCAATGGAGTCACCAAGTGGAGGAATTCGACAAGGATGTTCTACATCCTTAGCAGCCGCCGCAACCACTCACGACATCCCCTCGTCTATTCCCATTCACCCTCAGTCGACGCATCTTTACAAGGCTTCTTTTGATGCGGCTACTTCTGGGGTGGAAAAGGGATCGACTGCTTTTGTTGTTTCTTCAGCAGATGGAACCCTCCTCCATGCCCAAGTGACTCGCTATGATGGAATTGCATATGCTTTTGTTCTTGAGGCGCTAGTATTGAGGGATTGTTTGGCTTTTTGTGCAGAGCGAAGTTATCGTGAGGTGCTTCTTCAGGCGGATGCTAAAATGGTGATTGATCGATGTTGCAGTAATGATCTTTCTCATGTTCGGGCAGGGGTTATTTTTCAGGAGATTGTTGGGAATTCCACGTCTCATTTGGGGTTTGAGGTGATGTTTATAGGGCGTGTGGGTAACAAAGTGGCTCATTTAATGGCATGTATGGCTCTATTTTTGTCACGTCGCTTGTTGCAGAGGTTCGAATGCGTTTCTTGAGGTTTCTAGCCAATAGGCTAGGTGTATTCGTACTCTTTTCAATTGACGTTCTATCTCTCTAATCAAGAGATCTAATGGCAAAAAAAATTATTTATTCGAGGCGCGTATCTCCGGTATTGAAAACGTTTGGAGCATACTGGAAGTTAGGTTTGATATTTGGTTTCTTGGATATAACAGTTAAACCATTAACTGAACCGGTAGTTGTTTGTTAATGGTTAACCGTTTAATGCTAATAGGTTACGTTGAGGGTAATCACATCTACTTTGTCGCTATGTAAACCTTAAACAATTAGCAACAATAGTCATGCGATTAATAGACTTTATGATGTTTCTGGTCTGTTTCATGAAATTTGGTCAACTTTAAGATAGCTAGTCTGCTTTATAAATTTTGTGATGTGGTTTGGTTATGGCCTGCTTATAAGTTTTCTAGTCTACTTAATTTTATTTGTGGTGTAATTTGTTGTGTTTCTGATATACGTCATGATACTTATGGTCAGGACATGACGCAAAATAAATGAGTAGCACCACACGCGTGTTCCCCCCTGTAATTTTTAAAAATGATAAGCATGTCCCTCTCGTTAAAAATTCAGCATTAATCGTGGTCTAACCCCTTAAAAGTAAAAAAGTTATCAAAATTAAATGTTCCTACTATTTGGAGCTATAGTTTTAGTACTATACTAACAAATTGGATGTTAGCAACCTAACCTTGATCTATATTATAATCCAAGTGCTCCTAATGAGATATATCTACCTAGAGCATGAATTTGACCGAGTTTGGGGTATGATATTATATCATAACCTCTAATAGATAACCCCATATACTGAATCTCTGAATCAAACTTGAAGATCAACTTAATAAAATATATTAATCGATGATTCAGATTCGTGGAAATACAAAAAAGTAATACAAAGGTCATATCACTTAGATTATGGTATACTCAAAGAGTACACTAGTCATTACCATATATGTATAATAAATATCAAATAAATTGAAAAAATAATGATCATTTTCAAAGAAATACATACATACACACATATATATGGCAAAGGTGAAATCTGGGGTAACACATACCTTGAGTAAGAAAATGCTATCCAGAACTTGAATTGACTGATTTTTCGGACATGATACTATACTCTAACCTTTAAAGATCAATATATAGGTCTTAATTCTCTAAATCTTATACCCCAAGATTAATTTAATTAGAAACAATAATCAATGGTTATGATTCGTCCAAATATAGGCAAAAAAATCAATGATCATCTTAGGATTTGTAGTTTATGATTTAGATAATTAGGACCTAGGGTTCACTCATTAAGGGTTAGGGTATAATATCATGCCCAAAAATTCTGCTAATTCGAGATCTAGATAACGTTTTCATACTCAAGGTATGCGGTACCCCGGTTTCACTTGGGTACCGTAGAAGGCACCATAGATATATAATCGCGAGGTTTTTTGTTGGATAGTAAAAAAATCATGTCCATCCATCATCTGCAATATTCAGGTTTGGGTTATTTTACCCATGCTCATTAAAAATCCTTCGAGTTTGAGGTTTATCCCACCCAATTTAAGACAAATTCGAACGGATATACACGTTATTTTTGCATCCCTAGTTACAGTCAATGAGACAAAAATTGTGAATGTTGTTCTTAATTTCAAGTCCAAAGAAAATTTGTAAAAAATAAATAATAAAATTCCAATCATGAAGTTAAAAATCCCTAAATCATGATAAATTAGGCTACTTATAGAAATCCCCTAAATAACAGATTTCATCCATCAGTGAACTAGTGAAGGCGGTTAAGAAATCAACAAATTTTGTTTAGTTCTGTTTACATTTTGCTGAACCAAAGTTTCAACGCACATGTGATGATATGAATATACTAAGGGGTCGTTTGGAGAACATGATTTATGGATTCATTGAATTCATAGATTTAGTAAAATATTATGTTTTTTTGCTACTTTTTATATCATGGATTGTAGCTTCAGAGATTTTAAATCTCTCAAATATAGAGATATCAAATCTCTTATAATTAGAGAGATTCTACATCTTGATTTTAGATATTTTCTCCCTACTATATCTCTTTTTTTGTCATTTATCCTACTAAATACCCTTATCAATAAATTTTAAATATTTTTCGAGTCAATCTAATTATTTTGGTTAAGTATAAACATGTCATGTAATAAAAAAAATAGAATTTCTTTTTTCATTGGATGTTAACAATCGTAGTTACCAAACAATGAACATTTTCAAATCTTTTTTAAACAATCCAGAGAGTTAAAATCTTGGAATTGTCTAGAATCTACAAATTTAGACTCTAATTCTCCAAACGAGCCCTAAAAGCAAAAACCAAAGCAATTATTTCCCCGGGTAATTAACCAAAACAATATTTTGTTTAATCCCAAGATTCATAGTATGATGAATGATCTAATTTAGGTTTAAAAATTAAGCAAATGATTTCCAAGTTCTGTCTGCATCTCTGAGATTTGAAGAATCAATAGTTATGGGGACCATTTGGCATTTGGAATTGTGGATTGTAAATCATAAAGTTATAGTATTCCGAAAACAGTCATATTCTTTTGCAACAATTTTTGCACTTGATATTCTTATTTTTA